ATTACTGATCGATTGAATTCTTAAGGAGGGAAGCAATTTAGCATAAAGTCAGATCTGGTTCTCTATTTTTTAGTTCTGTAACCTTGGTCAAATGCTTTAACATTTCTGTTCCTTGAGTTTCCTCATTTGTAAAATGAGAATCATTGTTACACCTACTCCAGAGGTAATATGTATAAAGTCCTTAGAGTACGGCCTGGGACAGGCAAAGTCAGCTGTCTATACTTTACTGATTTTTATGACTATATTTCAGGCTTCCCCTTAAATATATATCTAATATATATCTAATTTCATGTACTTCATTCTAATATTACAAACAAAGGAATCAAAGCTGAGGTGGGTTGAATGATACAAGGCAAGTCACACAACCACTAGGATAATGGTAGGGTCTGAATTCAGGTCTTAAAACTTCATTCTTTACTTTTATACTAAACATTTATCTGATCAACAGAATAAAGGATTTTCATGATATATGAAGATTAAATAATATCATGCCTGCCACAAAGGGCTCTGAATCACTGTGAGGCATGGAATTATTACTGGGTGGAACTCCTCAGTAAATACCAAATTCTTTCACATCTACAATTTAAGGTTTTACTTGATAAACATTTATTCCTTTTGAGGTTCTAGAAAAACAAATTCTAAAAAGAATGCTACTTTTTGAAACGATTACATCTATTTTCCTATGAAACATACTAACCCACTCCTACATACATCCTAGAAAATCAGTTTTCCACTTGACCACAATAACCTCTGTATCTAAGCTCTCAAATAATTGACCAAGTTAAACCTTTGATATGTCCATGATTGTTGTGTTACCAATGAAGTATAGCAGATCAAAGTTATATCACCAAGCATGGCATATTAAATTTTAGTAAGAAGTTTTTACTTGATGACTGAGAAAAGTATTTCCTTATCTGCTGTTATTTCGAAGTGGAAAGGGGATAAAGAGCAGTTTACGTGGGTAGGCCTTTCCATTTAAATTCTTTCTTGTTGTTGTTGTTTACTGCAAAGTGTCCATCATTTCTATTTAACTTACGGAAATAAAATCTGCAAACCAGAATTTCTCTGAGATCAGCTAAATGTGACTTAATTGAAGATGCATTATTGTCTGAAGTGATGCTGGAATTATTTTATTCCAGGTATCAGGTAAGACTCCAATCCAGGCAGATGCAAAGAAGTTCAACAACTTTATTCTTTTCACCAAGTTATCTCCTTTATCAACATTTGGTTTAAGTTAGGCACATAGTTAGGGGGTGAGTAGGGCTGGTTAGTGTGATTGAATATATATATATATATATATATATATATATATATATATATATTTTTTTATATGTTATGTATAGATAATGCAACCATGCTTAAAATGAAATTCATATAGTATGTTCCACAGGAATACATTGGGAAGATATTTTTGTATATTTGTTTCTTTGTGTTTTAAATTGTTCACTGATAACAATGTATGTACTTTAAGCAGTAGTGCCAAGAACTCAGAAAGTAACATTGATTGATTGATGGAATGACTGAGTAACTGACAGAATGATTTCTCCTTCATTCTTTGTCTACCATTATTAACGCTTATGCCCACACCTACATTTGATTATACCATATGTATTATCTTATGTCTTTTTTTTCAATTAATGGTCTATCATAGGCATTATTCCATTCTAATATATAGACTTCTACCTAATTATTTTTAAGTTCGAACAATATTCCCGATTCTAAGCATGACACTATTTATTCAAATACACTAGTCCTTTATTAATGAACACACTCCAGTAGCTTTTTCTTTTTCATTGCAAATAATGAGGCAATGAAGTTCTGGTACACATAGCATTATCAAGGAATACTAACATTTTTTCTCAGACCCATTTGGAACATTTTTGGACCAGACTTCAACTCCCTTAGCAATCCTGGAATCTAAATAAATTAATCTGAGTCTCTCTTCCTTCTCTTTAGCAGAGTTCATGAGGGAGAACTGCAATAGGCACGCGAACAGGACAAGTAGGCATCTAGGCAAATACTTTGTAGAGTTGTGTGTTGTTAAAGGGTTATTGATATCGAAGAAGACTATTAATTTTACTTAAAGCTCTTCAATGTTAATATATTTCTGTGTGGCAACAAAATAAGCTGCATATAGGAATACTTAATATATTTTTAAAGAATATAGACATAAGATGCATGAATGTATGAACCTCTTGAGCTAAGAAATCCTATTTCTATCCAGAGGAACAATAATACTCTCAAGTTGCTATAGTATGGTATGATAAAAACCGCAGAAAATGTGTACTCTGAATCAGAACTTTAAATTCTCTAGGTTTCTGTTTTCATGTGAAAATAATATGAAGTAATAATGTTCTTATCAAAAACAATATCTGACATGGGTTAGGCCTTTATTCACTAATATTTATTAGTGAAATGTCTAGGGTACTATTAGATGATGTGTTGAAAGAATGAGAAATTCCAAAACCAGAAACTAGCTCTTACGACAATAGTATATTATCATGAATTAGCTACCTGTAGTAATGGTAGTGATGGTGTAGTGGAGGTAGTGGTAGTAATTAGTATCCATCTACTATTTATCCATAATAAGAATGTAGATGTGATTCAAAATTCGCAGTAACCAAGATTTTTATCTCAATGTATTTTCTTACTGATTAATTAAAATGCAACATTTCAAAGAAAGAATCTTCTAAATTCTTGGCACTATGTCTCAAACAACAGACATATAAAGTAAAACATATAGTCTTTGCTTCAAATATTTATTTGTGCTTCTCTATTATGATAGTATGTCCACACACATATAATTCTTTGACTCCGTGAGAACATTATCGCTCATTTTTTTTTTTTACTATCCCAACACATGTCTTCATTTGCTTCCTTATGCAGCCTGAATTCCATGGTTCATTACTATCACTCTTTCCTTTCCAACATCATTCCCTCATTATTTTCATTCTTCTTGTATTATACACACTTGGCAAAACTCAACCTTCATTTAAGAACTTGTTTCTCTATTTCTTAAGGGAAGCAGCAAAAAACTGTCACAGTAAATCAAATGAATGAGGCTGACAGGTATACTGAAAATTAGTGAATATCAACTCTAAATGGAATCTTATTCTGCCTATAAAATATACTTATCCTCACTCACCTCTATCTTGTATTTGTCATCCCCATCCCCTTCTTCTCACATGCTGTTTTGTTTTTCATGTATTTACAAGTCAGAAGACACAATTTGGAGCTTCTCTATCCTCCCATTACCAAATCTGTGGGCCAGATTTTGTCTTTTCCTTTTCTTCTTCCTTCATTTCACAATATCCCTTATTTTGTGAAAGATCATTGCTTTCATTTAAGTTTTAAATTATTCTTAGCCTTAAAGTGCGGTCCAATAACTAACAATTTTTCAAGATTTTTACCCATCTATATTATCCTAAGACACCAAGGAGGAAGTAATGGTTTTTCCTGGTCATTGAAAAATGACATATTCTTGGTCATCTTTCTCTACTCAGTTGGTTTATGAGAGAAAGGTCGATATTCATTCATTGACATGGTGTACTGACTTGAGCTCTCAACTACTTTAGTTCTTGTTTTTCACTGGACCTGTCTGAGCCCAAGCACTGTAAATTCTTGCAACTCCTGTTTTCCCGTGAATAGAACACTAGGTGGGATTTACTTCAGCAGGTTAACCTCTTTCTACCTCATGGGGGGTACATAAAATGAGATTGACTCTTGGATTCCTGGATGTATTCGGTGCAGAATGAGATACAGGAGTCTAAGCAGTGTTCTTCCATTCAGAAGTTTGCCGGAACTCTGCATAATAACTATTTACCTGATGCTATTAATTACAAGGATATTTTTTATTATCATCTTACTCCCTATTGATTTTTCTAGCAGTTAGAATCCAGAGTAAAGGAAGACTGAGTGATGGGTTCCCAAAATTTCCAAAAAGTTTTATTATGTCTGTATTCATTTTGGAGACAGCCGTGAAACATACTGTATTTCTACATATGGGTACATTGGAAGAATTAATGTTGCTATATGGATCCTCTTTCTAACTTAGATATTTATAGATTTATTCTCTTTTGAGTAGAGAAGAAGGATACCACAAGGGCATGCTTTAAAGGATGTTTTTTCCTCAAAAATATTCTTCTATTATATGACCCCCATGTCTGAAGGCATATAATAAGCAAAGCTCTATGATCATTTATGGCATCAGGATAGAGAGAGGAAATTATATAACTTACTGCTATTCTCAAACCACATCAATGTACTGTCATTTCACTGACTTCACTAATAGTGGCTATTGTTGATTTTAGCATTAAATAGGCTTGTAAAATAGAGTAGAAAGAAATTAAGTGCCAGAAATGAAAATGTGTGGAGAAAAAAAAAAGATAAACTCCAAGAATAGGGTCTTTGGATTCTATTGCATAAGTTCCAATGACCTGGAAATAATATTTAAAATGTAAAATAATATCAAGGAAATATCTATAGACCAATTTTGACTGTGATTAGTTCTGAATGAGATTAATGAAGAGACACCATTCCTCGTATGTTTTTATTACAACAGAGGAATCCTCTTAATGAAATAAAAAAATTACCTGAATCCTTTGTAATGGGTATATAAGAAAAATGAATACCCTTGAGTATGCATATATTTTTAAAGTGACAGAATTTATAGACACTTAGCCAAGTCTGAATGACAATAAGAAGCTCAGTATTTTCATATATAGTTATGCTTTCAATATGCACTAACATTATTAGTTATGAATTGTATGCAGCAGAGAAAAGAAAATGTTTAAATCAAAAAGTGAAGGTCAACAAAGTAAATTAAAGTAACATTTTCTTAATATTATTAGTGTGTTTAGGACAATACTAAAATGTTACACTTAAAAGTGTGTGTGTGTGTGTGTGTGTGTGTGTGTATATATATATATACATATATATATATATATATATATGAAGAGCTCCAACAGAGTGAATAATGCAAATAGCCAGAAACGGATTCAATGATTAGCAATGACCCAGTGACTTTATTAAACAAATCATGTAATTTCAAGTTTGTGACAATTGATGAAGGTCTTGTGGTCCTACAAGCATCCGAGCTCTGCAGCATGACAGGATTTAAGGCAGGCAAGGGAATTGCTATAATAAAGCCTCATCATTTGGCATACAGTAAGAGTAAACATGAAGAGACTTCATTAAGAATTCTGTACTCCCAATCTGTACACAGTAGAGAGCAAAAGCTCAATCTAGGAATAGACAACTTGTTCCCACCATGGATCAAAATGGGACATTAAACAAATAGTAACAAAAACACCAACAATGGCAATAGCAGAGAAAGTAATGTGATGAATATTTAATAATGTGATAATGATTATAAAAATAAACATTAATAAAAACCCATACATGTTTACTAAATTAATAGTAGGAGAGAAAGCTATGTGAGTTTCAGCAAAATCATATGGTTTGTATTGATGTTGCAAATAAAAATGGACTCCATATATGCATGCTATCTTGCACATGTACATCTGTGATCATTTTCACAGATTCTACTGACTTTGGGATATTGAACGTTTTGACAAGAAATAGGCTCAGGTAAATAGAAACTGAAATTTTTAAGGACAGATCACCAAAAAAGATAAGAATAAAGCTGACAAACACCAAAATATAACCTAGAAATTTGTGCTGGATTGCAAACATTATTCCTTGTTTCTTGTGGCATGACAGTAGAGATAAGTTTTGTCATGTTGGACCTTCTGGATATCATCGTCTAGTTATTCTCAACGGTAGTAGTAATTAGAATCGGGTTTGAATTTTGAAAAGGTAATTGCTAGCAAGTAAGGAAAATGAGGATTCAGGGAGAAATAAATCAGTTCACTAAGCTACTACTCAGCTGAAGAAACTCACTCTCCAAGTGGAAAGAGCATTAGTTATTTTGTGCACAACGCCCATTATTAACGTCTTCTCCATTTTTTTTTTTTTTACTTTGGCTACAATTCCCAATTTTATTGAGGGAATCACCTCTCTGTTAGTGTGTGTGATGTCAGGAAGCTGTGAATTAAATACCTGCCATGTATCTTAATCAGACAGTGAGAACCTGATGTAAGCTTGTTAGATATGCAGAATCTTAGGCCTCACTCTACATCTACTGGGTCAAAATCTACATTTTAATAAGATCTCTAGGTGATTCATATGCACAGTAGAATTGAGAAGTACTGCTCTAGAGCAGGCCAATATATCCTTGTTCCTAAATTCTCTAACAAATGTCACAGAGTGCAGGCTGAGATATCCTCATTATCTTTAGAGGGGTATGTGTTTGCTTCAACTTCAGTCTCTGTCATCTGCCTCTTTGTGGCTATCTGTTGTGACCATTCTTCAAAATCAGGATAAAGCTCCACTCAAAATTGGTTTCAGATTTTGAGATGGATGATGCCACACACACACCAAGAGAATGTGAAAAGATTTATTAGTCTCATAATGAAACTTTCTGGGAACAGCAGGGCAGCTCCAAACTAGTTCTAGAAATGGCTCAAAATAGCAGGAAAGGAAGACTGCCTTTTTGTTGTTGTCTTTATTTTGGACAGGGGATGGAGCTGGGGTGGGATCCTAAACTAGGGAAGGGGCTTGCATGACTGGAAACTTACATAAAGGCCAAAGGAGTGGGCATCAGTGCTTTTTGTCAGCTTTCTCAGATGTGAAGTAGAAGGGGAAAAGGTAGTGATGAGACTTCAAAGCTGTCAACAAACACAGGTCAAAAAATGGAGTCAGGATCTTTATTGCAATTCACTTCTGATGTTCGATGACTACAATTTACCATTGTTAAATTGAATTTCAAGCTAAGTAAACCATCATGGTACTTTATGAGGACAGCAGCCTGAAGCTGGTAAGAGAAGTGAAAGTTCTACCAACCAACTTGTGCAAGAGTCCAGCATTATGTATTCTAATTCTGAGAAGTGAAATTAAAATTGTCTTGGTCACTATTATTGGTATCTAAGACTCTGAAATGGATAAGGAGTGTCTTGATGAGACCTTGTGTTATGCTTCTTATAGGTATGGAGTTATGCATGACCATGATTTTACATTTTGGGTACTGGTGAGGTCAAAGAGTCCCAGAGTTCTTTATCCCAAAGAGATAAACTTGTATGAGTAATGGCTGTTTCTGTCATTGGATTGATCAAACAGCCAGACCATATGCATTGGCTCAAGAGTCTATAAAAATGTGCAGATGGAGTAGATTGTGGGCTAGGGCTTCCAGTACTAAGATAGCTGCCTAAAGTTCCTCCAATTGTGCTTGACCTTGAGCCCTGTCTGTCAACAGGGCATATTGAATAAAAGATGAAAAGTAGCAATATCCCACTGAGCCCTGACACATGTGCTGATGGCCATTATGTTAAGTATAGTCTCTCATTGTTAACTCTCTTGATCCCAAGCGACTCTTCAGGAGCCATGAAGTTGAGCAGAGGGATGATCTCCTCCAGTACTGTAACATCTGGTAAGAGTCCCTTGCCAGAGGGATATGCCAGAGAGCCCAGGTTTGGGTCTATCCTATAGTGAGAGGTGTAGATGATTGTGCCAAGCTTTCAGGGAGCTATTTCCATGACTGAAGCCATGATGAACAACTGGGTGTGGAGGATCATAGGCTCAGGGCCCATGAGAATCTCTGTTTCTTTTTTGTTGTTGTTTTTTTAGAATCTCTGTTTCCAGGAGAACTCAGCATGTGGCAAGCAATTGCTGCTTTAATGACATATAATGCAGAGCTAAGGAGAGCAATGGTATGTGTCAGAAACCTAAGAATCACTTATAGCCATTATGGATGGTCCTGAATCTCCAGAAGGAGTAAAAGAAAGTTGCTAAAGCCTCTACAATGACTGAGTCTCTTAAAGACACCAATAGAAGCACTTGTTGCATTTTAATTTAGACAGACACTAGAATAGTTTTCTGGAAAGAGCCCTATTCAAAATGAGGCAATTTGCAAATAACATTATAAAATGGGTTTGAATAAAATCTGTAAATGGAACACATTGCATCCAGAAACCTAAAAGAAGTTGTGGGAGCTGAGAGGGTCAATAGCTATTGCTATATAGTGTTAGGGATGGAGTGGGCCCCTCGTTTATCAAATCATTTCTGCAAATTAACTGAGGTGGCATAGACTCAGACTATGTGTGGGCGATGATTTCTTTTTTTTTGTGTGTGTGTGAGAATGTTTATCCTGAATGAGTGTTTCAAAAGAATTTCATATTATTAATGTGATATCATGCCTGTATTCCTGAAAAAAATTAGATGTGGTTCCGATCTTGCCTACCAGGACTGTGCAATGTCTGGTTGTTGAATTACCCTTTAGATTACCTTTTCTTTCTTGAATTTTCTTGGATGACTTAGCCTAGGGAGATGAGAAAATGAATAGGAAACTGAGGAAGCAGTATACTAGACTTCTGTTAGTCTGGACCTATAAGAATATGAAAGTAAGATATATAACTCTATGTCCAAATTTGAGGTACAGTTGATAAAGTATAGAAGTGTGTGTCTTATTCTTCCTTCTTTAGTGTAAATTCTACTGAAGTTCAGTATCTTACTTGCCTGCCACATGAGGCATTCAAAATACTTGTCAAAAAAATGAAGCTATAAATGACAATAGAAAAGCTTTAGGAAACGAGTTCTAATTAAGTTCATTTTTTTTTAATCTTTATCCTTTATCTCTGGCTAGTCTTATAAAAAGTTTATTTTCCATAATATGATCATCCTAGTTAATCATCTTCTTCACTAAAATGAAAAGTAAGGAGAAAGTACTTAGGAAATAAAACATTTTTATCATATAAAGTATTATATATAAGTATTATATGTAGCATACAAGTATACAGACTGTATATAAATATGCATATACATATCTAGCATCTAAAGTGAAAAAATACTACAACAAAAGCAAACTATGGCATTTTGGCTGTTCTCTGTATTGATTTATCGAATTTTGCATAAGCTTCATCCTCATGATGGTGGAATCACTCAGAAATTCTTAGCAAAAAAAAATGCTGATATGTAAACTTGTCCTTTTATTTGTCATCTTCTCTTTTCTTCATTCTTTACTATACACTTAGAAGTACTGTGGTCATCTCTCTGTTAGGGAGCCTAGCAGGGGAGTCAAAAACACTTTGTAAACAGATTTTCTTCTTTGTCTACTTGGGTTAAGATGTCTAATACTATGTTTTTATCTTCCAAGTTTTAGTTCTGACATGAAATACCTGCTTGTAGTACAAGATAGAAATTCTATCAATTCAAATAAATGTTTATCCTATAATATATTTTTGAATTAACCTATACTACAGAAGATGTTTTAAATATGCCAAATGCACTCTGACATCTTTTCAATGACTCTTGGCTTCCTTGAGAATGTTCTGGTTCTCAGGTATGATTTTCCTCACCTTCAAATTTATCTTCATCTATAGTATTGGACTTTCTCCCATTTTCAAAAGAGAGAAAAAAATGTTCATTTTATTTTTCAGAGAAAATGATTTCACCTCTACACAGATCCTGTCTTTTTAAAGCTTCCTCAGCAATAATACTTCAATAATTATCAGCACTCTTTCCTCTTTCCTGAGTTCATAATTTCTCACTCTGTCAGAAATTTCTCATCAGCAAATAAATATATTCAATCATTTAGGCCTTAAAAATAAAAGTAAAATATGATATTCCATTTGCTTCTCCACATTTTGCCTATGCTAGGTACTAAGGCAGTCCACCTCTATTCAGATTATTTTTCCAGGAATGTGGTAGGGTTACCAAAGAAATATGATGTAACTTGCTTCTGATTAAAATCCTGTATGAGCCATACTCCTCACATTCCATGGGCGACAGTCCAGAAGATGTTTGTCAGCCTAAGTTCCTGAGTGATGATAATATTGAATAGATATCCTTGAAATGATCCTTGATTTGACATGTAAATAATGTGTGAGTAGGAAAAAAAAAACTTTATTTTTAAGCTATTAGATTTGGAGTTTGTGTTTACCAAAGCATAACCTCTCTATCCTGTACTTAATATAGAGATTGATTCCTAGAATTTGAGGGCTAGCATAATAAAAACCTAAAATATGAGAGAATTTCTCACTGTCCATATCATTAGCAAAGAGAAAACTGTTATTTTAAGGCTACAGAGATGGTAATATATATTAGATAGTAGCAAAACTTTTGATAAAATATTATTGGTTGTAATTTAGAAGGTAGACTATACATCTAGTAGATGTGAAGTGTTAAAGGAAGAGGTTGATAAACAGAAGGAAGCAGAGCGTATTTGTTACTGTTTAGTGTATTTAGTAACATATTACAAGAAGAGTAAGCTCAGAATAAATTGGTCACTCTTCAAGAACAAATAGAAGGGAATAAGCGTTTCTAAAAATTTAGAGCCTTGTAATATTAAAAAGACAACTTTTTTTAGACATGAAATAGGAAAAAAACTTTGGGGGAACAAATAAAAAGTAGATTTAAATTAAGCTTCCGGTAAAAAAAAATGTAAAGAATTTTTGACTGATTAAATTGCCTCCAAGGAAAAATCAAATTAAGGAAATGGCCATGATAGACAAAACCATCTGGATTAAATTGCATCTGAAAAACAATGCAAATTAATATTGTGACAAACAGTAAATATTTTCAAATGGACAGAATTTCTCAGGAAACAGACTAAGGGTGTGCACCTGCCAAGACTGATGAGCTCCAGGTATTTGGTAAGTCGAGCTATTGAGAGAGAGACAGAGAGAGAGAGCGAGAGTGGTTAAGAGAAATACAGTACACATAAGATATATATTTTGAAAGGAAAGGTGATTATGAATATTGACATATAGAAGTGAAGCTGATTAAAATCAAACTGTTGAGAATTAACTACGTTTTTAAAAATAATCTGTCAAAACCAGAACTAGCTTGAACAGTAAGAGTTAGCTGCTATTTGAGACTTGACTCTTGGCCCCAAATATCTATGGACAGAAGGTGATCTGAGAAGTATTCACAGTGTCCAAGAAGAACATATTTTCTGATATCCATTTCAACTGTGGCAAAGGAAGATGGTGGAAAAGAATTATTGGATTTTGATTTGTGTCGCATTCTTCCATTTTCCAAAAAGGAATGTTTAATGTGATTTCCCAGGCCCTATTCTCCCAAAGTTTATTGGAGTGTGTTTGTAGGGGCAGATAATACATCTTTCTAAATTCATAGATCCCCAAAACAAGAATAGCTACAGCTATGATTTATCTAAAACTCCTATCCATCATTTTAAAAGAAAAACCTTTTCACTGAGAAAACTGGCACTTTTAGTTTGATGCCATGATTAAATGGGATTTACAGCTGAGGTGAGTAAACTTTGTTTTCAGGAAGAAGAGTGAAAAGAATATTTGGTGACCAGAATATATTGCAGTAGTTTTTATAGTTTTCATAAATATTCCAGTCTTTTCCATTCTGAGAAGAGTAAATTGCCCTAACACCCCCTTGAATGTAGGCATGGACATGTGACTTTCTTTGGCCATGTGAACATGTGAACAGAAGTCTTCAAGATTCAGTGTACAATTGCTTGTGTTTCTTTTCCTTCCCTGCCACAATAATTACAAATTATATTTATCTAAGATTTTATGAATTTATTCATGAGAGACACAGAGAGAGGCAGAGACATAAGCAGAGAGAGAAGCAGGCTTCATTCAGGGAGCCCAATATGGGACTGGATCCTGGGACTCCAGGACCACAACTGAGCCGAAGGCAGATGCTCAACCCGAGTCACCCAGGCGTCCTAATAATTACAAATTTTGAAGCCCCCGTTAGATTGAAATCTGAATAAGGATATTATGGGTCAGAATCCTCTGCTGGCTTGAGACAGACATGAGGCCTAAAGGAAAAAATACACTTTTTGGTGTTTTAAGCAGTGAGCTATTAAAGTTATTTGTTATAGCAGCATAATTGCAAATATTATATTACAATTCTTATCTCATGTCTTTTTCCATGTCAGGTTTTGAAAAATGTAATTTATGTGTGTTACTTCCAGATTTTCACTATATATATATATATATATATATATATATATATATATTATATATATATATATCTGGATTCTATTCTTTCCACAACAATAAAATTGGCCCATTAAGTTCACCAAAAACATGGCTAAATTCAATGGAGGCATTTTAGCTCACATCTTATTAACATAACTGCAGGATGAGTTAATCAAAATTGTTTGATGTAAAACTCTTTCCTTCCCTGGATTCTCGACACCATTGTGTTTTCATTCCATGTTTCCTCTTGGGTCCTTTATCGACTTCCATTTCACATTCCTCAAAACTTAGTGTTCAACAAAGTGCTAAAACTCTTTGCTTTCAACCTGCTTCTTCTGAGAGAAGCATTCACCTTCAACAGTTGGAAATGTTTGAGTAACTCCTAAATAAGTATCTTTAGTTCAGATCAATTTGTTGCATTCCAGAATCTATGTCCATTGTCCCCTGACCATCATACGTCCACCAAGTTGTCAAACTTATCAACTTGTAAATACCATGAATTCTCTCTACTACACACATCTAGATGATTACAAAGTACTGGTTATTCCCCCCCTTTAATGAGAACAGTCACATATTTCTCTCTATTCCCGCTGCCAGTATTTTAGTCTAGGTTCTAATTATTTCTCCTTGATTTTCCAAACATCTGCCTTACCACTTTGCTTCTATTATCCAGCTCATGTTCTGCACTGTGGCCCAAGTGATCTTTCTAATGTAACAGTTGGCACTAGTCACTCTTCTTGAATTTCTTCGAA